ACACCCAAACACTGCAGAACATACATTCACACCCAACATGAGTGCCTCCTCAGGCAGAGAGTCAGCATTGCTATGGCAATGGGCAGAGCCGGGCAGCCCCTGGCACAGCAGCCAAGGCTATCTGAGCCACTCTATTAAGATACACTTACAGCGACCTTTACTTTCATGCCACATCAGTACTAGTTCAGTCCATTTTATCACCTCAGAAGTGTATACATGCACATACATGTTTCTGCTTATATGCACACAAATATACATCGATATACATATCCATCGCCTTTTTCATTACGATTACCCCGGAACATCCTAGCTTGAAAGAAAGGAGAGAGGAGAGAATGAAGAGAGGAGAGAAAGCTGAGTAGGGGTGAAGGGTGATGAGTGTGTGTGTGTGTGTGTGTGTGTGTGGTGGGGGTGGTGGTGAGAAAAGGGCAGGGGTACCAGAGCCCCAGTTCCTCTTCCTTCTCTCCCCACCTAAGTACTTTTATTTGTAGAACGATTGTTCTTTGTTTATTTAATACAAGTACTGTGTGAATGGTGAAAAATAAACACGATGAAAAATAACCAAACAGATGATTCCTCTGAGTGAAAAAGCCCGGACTTAATAAAAGTGCGAAGCAGTCACCGCTGAATGAGAAACCCTTTGAAGTGGAACTTATTATAGGAGGAATACTTCGGGGTTGCCTTAACGACGCCGCTGAATCGAAAGCGCTCGCCTTTGTCAGCGATTTGTTCTCCTTTGCTGGGGTGCCCGGAGAAATTACTTACATGGGCGGCCTTAACATGCAGCCTGCAAATCAGTAACTTTGCAGCTCAGACTTGCAGACGCCACTTTGCAAGGGACAAAAAGAAGTCAGGGGGGAAACTCACCAGCCTTTCACGCTGAGGCTCTGGGCGTGGGGGAGCACGGGCTTGTTGGGGGCGGCAGATAAGAAGTTGTATTACAACTCACCCCCCTCACCGAGCTCCCCACCTCCACACGGTTCTCGTCCTCCCCACCCCCAAGCCTGACCTGGGGCTTGGGCCGCCTGCTTCTCCAGGGCTCTCCTGTGAGGGGCGTGCTTCTGCTGTGGGGCTGGGAGAGGGCCTTTCCCAGCAGCCCGGGCCATATTTAATATGGGTCGTTTATCACCAAGGCGCTTTGAAGGGTCGCCTCTAGCCCTGTGCCCATTAGAAAGGCGGAGGTGACATTTAAACTCCCGTTTTCAAGGATCGCAGGGGGACTTCAATGAAAAGGCAACTCGTTTGTCTTAGGAGCTTGGAAACAACCCCCTTCTCGATCCTTTTGACCACATGGCATAACTCAAAAACAATAGTTCAAAAGTGAAATGGCATCGTGGTGTTCACTCGGAGACAGGCCCCCATCTAGCACCAGAGAAAAGGGGTAGTCCGCAAGACAATGTGCTTTTTGTGTCCCACTCTGTCACAAGGGTTGTGCTGTTTGCTTTGGAGGCTGCGCCTGTTATACTTTCCTGAAAGTGCTTGTGTTAAACAAGAGTTATAAGTCATCCAAAACAACAAACATTTTGATTTTCTTTGCCTAAAGGGCTTTCCCTGGCTATGGGCACCGTGAAAAAATAATGTCCTTGCTGAGAAAGGAACACCAGTAGTAGCATTACAAGCGGGCGCATGAAATATTGAATGACACGGGGAAAAGAGCTTGTCCAGGGGCACTCAGCCCTAAAGTCTTTCTTCAACTTTGTCTCCGGTGGCTGCTGGACTATTTAAGATGGTATTAATTAAGGCAGCTTGGGATGCCGGCCGGCCCCTTCGGCTGCGCTCCGTCAATGGGCCTGTGTCCCCATGCTCTGCTCACGCGTTGGCTGAGCCTAGTGCAAATGTCACTTCTCATTTGGAGGCTGAAGAGAAGGGCCCGTCCTACGTTAGCAGCAGCAGGGACACTGCTGTCTTCTGCAGGCGTTAAAGGGATAGGAAGGCCTGGGGGTGAGGGGACAGAAAGTAAGAACAAAATGAGAACAGCTGCCCTGGGCGGGGCAAGAGAGGGTGCGCCATGCGCCCTGCACGCACTGCTGTTGGCACATTTTGGAGGCAGTTGTTTAGCAAACAAGGATTACACGGGACTCTCAGGGTTTGATACACTCCCTCTCTGTCGCTCCTGCGTGGGGACAATTAAAAGTCCAGCCCTGTAAAAATCCACTGGACAGTTTGGCAAGGGCTTTATTTTACAAAGGGACTCACAAATGCTTGGGACAAACGAGCATCTTTGCGGACGTCTTCCATCCTCCTAAGGGCCCCTTCCCAGATCACAAAAGAACTTCAAATTTACAGAGAGTGAAACTGACCTCCTGCAAGATACCGAAAAGGATTTTGTCATTTTCCGGAGGAGTTGGAGGTAGAGACTCTCCTTAAGACCAAAGGCCCAGCCTCAAGTGGGGTTCTGTTTAAGGCCCCAACAATTGGGCGAATATAACTCTCTACCCCGAGTTCAAGGGGTTAATTCAAATTCACATGGATACTATTTTCAGTAGTGGGTAATTCCTAGCCACCACAACCCCCCCCAACCCCCCCCAAAAAAAGAATGCCGCTTACTGCTAAGTAACTGTGGCACACACAAAATGCATCATCCTAGAAATTCTGTTAACCATCCATTCTTGATGAGGAAAGACAGGCCTTGGCTGAGTAGAAAGGTGCAGGGCACACTTTTTAGGCCTAAGGACCTCTGCAGCCAGAGGCCCCACGGTGCCCCTATCTCTTCTGGTATGAGTTCCAGTTGGACGTTGAGCACAGGCAGCTTTTTTTTTTTTTTTTTTTAAGTCACAAAGCCCCTGGAGGTGGAGGAAGAGGCGGTCAAACTGTCCTTGCCTGGTAAGGTGAATGTATGAGCCGGTGCCTTTCCAGTTGGAGTTACCCCTTCCCAAGTTACAGCCAGCTACAGCAGTTCAGTACCCTCAACTTTAGATCCATCTGCAGTGTCCTTGGGAGGGCCTCAGGGCCTCTTGGATAAGGGACCCTTTCTGTCCTCCCCTTTCCTGTTGGGGCTAGGCTCTGTACTGGAGGATTCAACTTGGATCTCTTAATTCCTGA